GTCCATGTACTATATTAAATATATATATATATATATAGGGTTTAGGGTTTAGGGTTTAGGGTTTAGGGTTTATATGTAGGCCCCAAAGTACCTATATAGGGACTACTTTAAGGCCAAAGCATTATTTGGGCACATGGACCCTTGCGGTACCTGAACCCCGTTTGGCCTATCTTTTTGAGGACTCATATCTAGGAAGTCATAATGAGGAGCCCTGAAACAAAGTTGTTACAGGGCTTGAGGTGGTCTATAGTCTCTACTCCCAAGACCCGCGCAAAGTCAAAACCACGAAACCCAGCAGTGGGAGCCCGGACAGCGCCAAAAGCTCGTAGCTCTGTCTCCGTCTCCTGAAGCTACAATCTTGCAGGCACATAGGGGTGTAGGGTTAGACGTATAGATTTAAGGCTATGGGGTAGGGCGTAGGGTACATGGTGTAGGGTTTAGGGTATGCGGTTTAGGATCCCTTTAAATTATGAGAGAGATCCTGCAAGCAGCGCCCTCCTAAAACATCTTGAAACATGTTGCTGAAGGCTTCTTAAGACGGCGTGGCCTGATGACCATGATTGGGTTCAGGTTTTAGGGTTTGAATTTAGGGTTTAAGGTTTGTTTAGGGTTTAGAGTTTAGGCTTTACGGTTTTGGGTAGGTAAATACTTCAAGTCGCAGGGGTTACAGTAGAGATTTTTCCAAGGACTAGAAGGAGATACAATTGCGAGTTGTTTGGCCTCTATAGTACCTATAGTCTCTTTTCTAATTCCTTGTTTTGGTTTAACCAAACATATGTATTGGGATTTCGGGATTAGGAATTAGGGTATTGGGATTTCGGGTTTAGGGTATTGGGATTTCGGGAATCGGGTTGATGTGGAGGGTTTGTTGTTTATGGTCTTTGCTTTCGGGCTTGGGCTTTAGAACATGTGTTTGCGACTCCTTCTGGAATGTGTGGCTGGTCTAAACTCCAACCGACGACTGCCGGTTTCAGCGCGCTGTCTGAAAAGATTCGTCTGCCAAAGCCCTACTAGTAGTACTATGAAAGGAACAGAGCTAGAGTTCAAAGTGGGGGTTATGAGGCAAGTAGGAGTTCCCGATAACAAGGAGTACCTTATTGTGGGCTCCTTATAATAAGGATCCTACTATTTAGGGTCCTATATAAGGGCCCCCTATTATCGGAAACCCCCAAGTAGAGCTGCGAGTGCAGATGCTGTGTGGCCCTGCTCACGAGTTCCGAACTAAGCTTGAAGCGTCCTTGCCGCAAGGCACTGCAGCCACTTCCTAGTTTGATATTGGTTTAGGGTTTAGGGTTTAGGGTTTAGGATTTTAAGCCAGCCACTTCCTAGTTAGGTATTTTTACCCAGAGGCCCCATAGTAGTTCCTTTTGGGGGTTACCTTATAGGATTTTATATATGAGCCACCAAAAGGAACTACTTTAGGGCCTATGGGTAAGCCGAGGGAAGGAAGATATCCATTGAGATGTTGGAATCCTGTAGCTGGAACTGTTACACCAAAGCATCCGGTCAACAGGGACCCCGAGGACCAGCTGGAGATGAAAGATGACGTCTTCTGGGAGAAGAAAAGAGCTGAGGGGTGGTGGTGATGATGGAGATGACAACGAGAATTACGGTGAACACCGTGATGCAAGGAATGTCGATGTCGATGATGATGCTGGTGACATACAG